GTTGTTTCCTTGTTCATCAAAACACATTCTTAGTGAATTGTAATCAAGTTTTCTATGATTATCCAATCTAAAGTTTTATTATCTATCATCTGTGTCTCCATACATAGTAGTAATATACTCAACAGGCTGATGATGGGTATGATGAATTTCTTAAAGTGGCAGGCAAACTGCAGTTTTAAATGAATACATCTGAAAAGCTTTGAGCAAAGCCTTGAGTCTTTTTAAGAAGAGAGAGCTCACATGTGATAGCTGGCTGGCCTCATCCCTCAGCTAAGGAACGCAACCTTGCTGGATGTGAATATAAAAGCCTTAAAGTGGAATTAAATATAATAATGCCTTGGATTTATAGGGCACTTATCTTCACAGAACCTCAGGCATTCCTAGTTATAGTGTAATCCCATATTCTCTGCGCAAAGCAACCAGCCCAACTCGAAATCTCACTCAGCCATAGTGAAAATTATGAAGTATTAAAGGGAGCAAAAAAACAAAAACGAAAAATTAGGGAGAAAAGTAAACGCTTCCCCAGGGATCTCCCAGGCCAGCCTTGCTCCCAGGCAGGTGGAGCACCACCAAGATCCAGGGCATGTGGTTTCAACAGCTGCCTCCTCCTGCCTCATGCCACAGGGCTGTTGCGAAAATGAGACAGAACGTGTGGCCAACCCGTAATTATGCAGGGGCGTAGGAATCAGGCCATTGACTAGTCGGCTTCTCATTTCTCCCTCTCTTAGCCGTTCACAGCCTCAGATGCAGGAGGATGTGGATGGGATTCCCAGAGCGTCTCTCCGCTCGCTTCTTAGGAGCCAGAAGAAATTACAGTCAGCGCAGGCGGCTGTAAAATGCAACCCCAGCCTCGGTGTGGGCTGCGTGCGGCCTGGACTGGCCCGTGGCGCAGGGAGGCCGGTGAGGAACGATTCCCACACCCACTCCGGGCGCCGGGCTTTGCCCGGGCAGCACCTGGGGAGGGGCGGGGCAGCGCGGCCACATCTCTGACGAGCAGAGGCCGGGGCAGAAGGGAACAGAAGGCTCTCAGAGGGAAAGCACTCCTTCCTGTCCCTCTCACTTCAGCTCTGTGAGGTTGCTTCTCCCAGCAGGCCTTCCCCCATCCTCGGGTCCGAGCGTGGGTGCACACAGGAATGAACCGCTGGGGAAACGAGAGCCCCTGCTCGGCTCCGGCTCCGGGCCTGCCCGCCGGCCTCCCTCCTTCGCAGGCCTCCCCAGGGGCCTCCCTCACAGCCTGGAGCCGACACTCAGGCCTCTCAGTGTCACTCCACTCTGTTTGTCCCCTTTCCACTGCTCAGCAGCCAGAAGACGAGTAGGGGAAATTAGAGAACTTGAACCTGGGCAAATTAACTTGGAGATGGTTAAATAAATGTCCAAATGAGTTTTCTGTTTCTAGCCTCCTCTCACTCCCATTCTAAGGCAAGTGAAAAACGTCTGAGTGAAGCCCCGGAGCTCTGGCTAAGAATACAGTGTTATTATTAGAGCGACTGGGGGGAGTCATACCATCTTGCGCAGGGCCCCCGTGGGCTGTGTGGGAGGCGACTGTCAACAGCTGCTGGGAGGGAAGCTTGTTTATTGTCAGTCGCCTGGTGCAGAGATTAAGACAAACTTGGTGTCCAGATCACACCCATAGGTGCAGGCAGTGGCTGCTCTAGACACTGCATCCGACTGCAAGGGTCCCCAAGGTCTCTACTCAGGGATGACTCAACCAACAAGGAAACCCAGGAGGCCACCAGGACAGCTGGGAGAATTCCCATGGGACCACCCCACCAAACACTCCCAATAGAGAAGTGCAGCATACAATGCCTTCCCAAACAGAAAAAAACCCAAGAACCTCAAACCAGCAGAGAATCCCACATGACAGCTTCAAGCCCCGAGACAGTCATTCATTCAAAGAGTTCTACATTCTTTCACCAAATACTTATTGTGCACCTTCTCTGGCAGATACTGGGCGTGGGACTAGGAATGGAGCAGTGAACGACACAATCCAATCCTGCTTTCATAGAGTTGACAGTTAGGAAGAAATCACCTGCAATTAAACTGGTTGTTAGGTGATGAGTGTTTTGATAGAGTAAGTTCAAGAAGCCAAGAGCAAGAGCACACGGTGGGGGAACTCTAAACTGATCACAAGGAGTTGCCCTGATGGGGAAACTGTCTCTGATGAGATACTGTGAAGTTCAAACTCTTAGGGTCCCGAGAGATGTCAGCCTAGGGCTGTCTCTGCTTTCTTTCTTTAGCTAATCAAACTTTTAGCTAATATCTACCCGTCTGGCGCCTGTTCTAATTCATTACCAGTCCCTTGAACATAAAGCTCTGGGAATAAACAATTAGAATCATAGAGCAACCATCAAAGTATCCAGAATTCTCTGGGAAGCATGACAGATCCCTTTATCCAGTTAGGTCGTATAATCAGCATGCTATTATAATCTACCATTATTCTCACTCTTCCCCTGACAAAGATAATCACCAGGAGCCTCTCCCCCAAGGAGGTCCAGCCCTTTATGGCATCCTATAAGCAGCCTCACATCAACAAAGAGCAGAGGATGTGTTAGACATCCTCCACCCCAAAGACAAGAAAAGTGAGGTGATGAGAAGTTTCACTGACTTCCCCCAGCTCTGCAACTAGGGTGAACCTTTTAAAATGTAGGTCAGATGATGTCCTCCTCTGTTCAAAACCCAGCTCACTCAGACTAAAATCTGAAGTCCTGACAATAGCCCACCAGGCCCTACATGATCCAGCGCCTCATTACCTGTCTGACCTCCTCTCCTATTAATCTTTCCTGGCTCAGTCTGCATCAGCCATATGTGTCTCTTTGCTGATTTTCTTGAACACACCAAGCACACTCCTTCCTCGAGGCCTTTGCACTTATCATTTTCTCTGCTTGGAACTTTCTTCAGATATCACATCCTCACTCACTTCCTTCAAGTCTCTGCTCAAATGTCACATTATCAGTGACACCTTCCCTGGCCACCCTATTTATGACAGCAGTATTCCCTCCACAATCCTTGTCCTCCTTTCCTCCTTCTCCGCTTTATTTTTCTTCATAGATGGTATCACTATCTGACACTATATACTTTATTGTCTGTCTCTCCAGCTAGAATGAATGCTCTTGAGGAGAGAGATTTTTTTGTCCCCCCTCCCACTGCTTTCTAGTGCCTAGAACAGTGCTTGGCACATAGTGGAACCTCAATAAATATTCACTGAATGAATGATAAATTAGTTGGGAAAGGAAAAACTTCAATAAATGGTGATGGGCTTTTTGCTGTTCCAGATAGAAAATAATAAAATTCAATTCCTACCTTGCAGCACACACCAAAGTGAATTCTAGATGGATTAAATTCTAGATATAAAAAGTGAAATCTTAAAACTTTCAAATCATAATACGGGGGTCTATCTTTATGATTTCAAGATGGGGGAAACTTTTTTTTGAGGAAGATTGGCTCTGAGCTAACATCTGCTGCCAATCCTCCTCTTTTTGCTGAGGAAGATTGGCCCTGAGCTGACATCCGTGCCCATCTTCCTCTGTTTTATACGTGAGACACCTGCCACAGCATGGCTTGACAAGCAGTGCATAGGCCCGCACCTGAGATCCGAACCAGCGAACCCCAAGCCACTGAAGCAGAAGGCATGAACTTAACCACTGCACCACCAGGCCTGCTCCAGGGGAAAATTTCTTAGATAAAAAGCACAAACCATATGGAAAAAGATTGATACATTTAACAACAACAAAAATTAAAACTTCTGTACATCAACCATAAACAGATACCATAAACAGTAAAAACAAACAAAAACAAAACTAACAAAGTAGGGTAAGAGATTTGCAACACATGGACCTCACAAAAGATTAGAATTCAGAATCTATAAAGAATTCCTACAAAATTGAAAAGGTAAATTTCAGTAGAAAGAGGGGTAAAGGAAACAGAAAGACAATTCACAAAAGAAGAAACCTGAATGGCTAATCTATTTAGGAAAAGCTGCCCAACCCCACCGGTAAACAGGGAGACATAAATAAAAGCAGTGAGCCACTCTCCTCCATTAGATTGGCAACAATTGAAAATCTGATAAAATTAAATGGAGAAAAAATGTTGAAAAAATGAGACCTCTTTTTTACCACTAGTTGGGGTCTGATTTTGCATAGCAACTGTGAAGGGGAATTTAGCCATCAGACTGCAAACGCACACAGCATCCAACTCAGCATTTCCACTTGTTCTGAAGAAACAAGCTCTTCTCACACACGTAGGTAGGAGGACACGTGCGAGGAGGTCCACAGACGATCTCTTTGTAGATCACCTAAGTCTGTATTGTAGATTTTTTTAACAACCTTTGAAAATGTAAAATTGTTCTTAGCCAGATTTGCTCACAGCCATAGTTTACCAAACCCTTCTATAACAATTAAGTCAACTAGGTCTATATGTGTCAACTTGAGTAAGTCTTAAAGACAAAAAATAACAAAAACAAATTCCAGGAAAATTATGTACAATTCAGATAAATCTTTAGTTCCTCACAAAATATTAATACAGATATGTTGTAAATCTATAAAAATGAATATGGAAAGGGTATATATAAATTCACAATAGAACTTGCTTCTGGGGAAGGAAGAAGGAAAAGAGGATTTAAGTGGGGCACCAAGGGGACTTGAACTTTATCAGTAATATTTTATTTCTTTGGTATAAAATAATCTGAGGCAAATATGACAAAATGTAAATACATATTCATTCAGGGCATTGGGTACATGAGTGTTTGTCATGTTATTCAGTGTACTTTCCTATAATTAAAATTTTTTTTTCTGAAATACATACAGATAAACAAAGAAAAAGATCACTGGAGCATATGTCAAAATTTCACCAGTGGTTATTTGTACTAGGTGGATTTCTTATTTTTACTTATCTGTATCTTCTAAATCAATATCTACCTCTAAAAATTGGAGTTTATTTTTAATGTGAAAACAAAGTTACCTAAACTTTCCAAGGCACCCGTTTACCTACTGAACATGTCTTACTGTTGGAATCTTGAACGAAGAGATCAATCCCACTTCCATCTTCAGAGATCTCACATCATCCTGAGGAAAGTGCTCATCCCAGGGTCAAAACCGGTCCCAGTCACCTTGCCTAGATGGAAGACCAGGTCTGCTCCTCTGTCTCCTGTTTCTCCATCCAGTGAAACTTCTTCTCCTTGGCTGGGCAAGGGCTTGGGGACAGTACCCACTGCTCTCCAGCACTGTATGAGGCAGTTAAGTATCAGTGAGAAATCTCCTACCTCAGCACCTGGCAATGGTCACCCCCTATGCTCGGCTGACCTCTCACTAGGCCTGGGTCACCAGATCTTGGGGAAGATTAAGTAACATGAGTTACTTAGTCGTGGTTTCCTCCCTACCCCTGGGAAAATAAGTCTTTCAAGCTGTTTATCAGTGTGGTGCCCCTGTTTACAACTTGGGATGTGCTGGGAATCCATTTTTAGAACATGGTCCTGATTTTCATGGGTCCCCTAACTTAGAGAACATTCTGGCTTGTGGCACAAAGATGCTACTGCTTCCCCACCAAGGTTTTGCACACATGCCCTGAATCAGGGCTGACTGCATGGGTGTACTACCTGTGTAATTGCACAGGGCCCACTCTCAGATTCGATTTAATGCTCTGTGGCCACTATCCTGAAATTCTGAATAATTCTGTCTTTGAATTTCTGTTTTATAAGCAAAGTCTGATGAGACAACAAAGCATGTGTGTGAGCAGAGGAGATATGCTAACAGCAGTGTATGCATGCACGTCTTCAGGCCTGTGGGCACAGCAGGCAGCATGCTGAAGGGACAGCCTAGACCTGAGCTCAGTGGTGGTGGCAGCAACAGAAGCATTGATGGCAGAGGTGGCCACAGCCCCAGAAGAGGGAGAGGCTCCTCATGGAAGCAGCGTCAGGACAGTGGTGGGAAACCAGCATGCCACCCACCCCCAGAGCCCATCACTGCAGCCTCTCCAGTCCGAGACTGGGACAGGAACTGCCAGTGCGCAGATAGTAAACGTTGTCAATAAATTACTACAAAATAAAATTGGGCACATGGACATTGCAATAAAGCCTATCAGAGAGTAACTAGAATTCTTTAAAGAGTTTAGAATCTCTGGTTTTGAAAACTGTTACAGCACTGCAAAACAAATAGCCACAGGCTTAGAAGTAGAAAGTTAATTTAAAGACCATTGCATTCAACAGAAAGGATATTTTTTCATATGAAGCTTCAGACAAGCCAGGTATTAACAAGAAAGACAATTTAAAATTAATTTTTCTTATAATGGAAGATAAAAGTAATAGAATGCATAAATAAGCATTTTTAATTATATGCAAATTATGAAACTGCTTTCCACGTCTTGAATGACCTGTTAAAGCTACAGGAAATGTCAGAGGAAACATTTAAATGCCGTTGTATAAATACACATTTAAAATTAAATTCAGACCTACATAAAGCTGTACTAAAATTTTCATTTTGAAATAATTTACCAGAAATTTACCACAATGTTGTCCCAGCCTATAAAATGTACCTAGCATTTCCAGTAACAGCTGTACCAGCATACAGATCCTTCTCAAAATTAACAATTAGCAAAAATTATTTGAGATCTTGCATTTGCCAAGAGTGACTAATGTCACTTTCAATTATATCAATTGAAAATGAAGTTGCTAAAAGTATAACTGCTGACCTAATAAATGAATTTGCAAAAAAACCAGAAAAGTCTTATGATCAAGGTATCACATTAATAAAGTATTATCATTTATTGTATTACCTAATATTATATGACACCAAGAGCATTACTTTTTTGCATTTGTAAGTTTATGCTGTTATTTATGTAACATGACTATACCTATTATTTTTATAAGGAACAAGATCTCTTCGAAAGAAAAAGTTTTATGTTTTAGTACCTTTAACGGTACGTTTCTTTCCTACTTTTTGAACAAGGGCCCTGCACTTCCATTTTGCACTGGGCTCTGAAAATTATATAGCCAGCCCTACCCTGGACCATTTTCCAGCGGTGATCGAGCCACCACTGCCCTTTGTAAAGAAGGTCAGACATCTGTCTATTAGGCAGCTGGTCTTGGGAAGTAAAATGGCCCATTCAGAGATGGACTGGGGACCTTGTGTCCTCATTGCACTGGCCCACAGCTGAGCATAGGCAAAATAACACACAGGTCTCTTCTCTGTCGGCCACAGTGGAACTGCCAACCCTGACACATAGACCTTGAGGCAAGTTATGGCTGAAAGCGTCACCCCATCAGCTCTCCTTCATCAATGTCTTTCCTTCTGATGAACATCTGCATTCCTCTGGGGACACAGCATGGAACAAGACTGAATTCCTACTGAGGGGACTCAGCATACGATATATTGTATTTTATTATTCAGACTCCAACGGCCAGTTTCTCAGCCTTTCCCTCTGAATCCTATTTGGTGATTTTTGATCAGGTACCCAGAAGCTCTCACAGGGTCACTTCACCAAGGCTGTCAGAGTCTCGGCAATAGATAAAAGCCCTGCAGGTACTTAAGGCTAACGTCAGCCTTAGAGTGAGGAGTCTGGGAACAGAAGCTGCCCCAGGTGGTATTCCACTGTCCTTCAGAACAAGGCAGGACAGATACTGCTGACAAAGCAGTCTTTTTTGGATTGTTTAATTTCATTTCACACAAAACACATTTGGCAACTTTCGTAAAAACATAACCACAAATAAGATTGTACTTGGGTCACCTGAACACTGGACCCTTCTCCAACTTCCACTACCATATGGTTTGACAACTTGATCATTTCCTGCTCTCCTGTGTTTCCATGTGTGTACATCATGAACTCCGTGGGGACAAAGACCCTGTCTTCTTCTTCATGTGTCCCCCAGACTCCAAGTATAACAACAATACTATAGTTCTTGGAGCACCCACAACACACTTTCCCATTCATTAATTCATCAGTCCTCACAGCGCAAGCCCCTCCAGCCAGAATAATGCCCATTTTACAGAGGAGGAGATCCATGCCTTGAGAAGGTCACCGGTTTGCCCACAGTTCTCCAGCTGCTAAAGGATAGAGCTAGGACTCAATCACAGATCCGTCTGATTCTGTTCGACTGCACCTTTGTGGAAGGGGCCATCTCTAAAGGGGGAGGCATCGCCCTGTCTGCACACTACTTAGCACAGTGCATTACAAATGCAGATATCTCAGCAAGACCTTGTGATGAGAGGTGTTTTCACTTTTAGTATCAGAACCACAACTTTTCTGCTACACGGCAGCACATCTGAAAATTACCTTGTCTGACATACCCATCTGCATTGTTCTGGAGCTGCTGAGTGTGTCAAGGACTTTGGGCAGGAGGGGATGGAATGCTCTAAAACTCAGCTCTTCGAGGTGGCCTCGCACTTTCTGCACCCTTCTCGGGTGGAGAGGGCAGCAGCAGCAGCTTAAAGCAGTTTGTTTAGATTTGCTCCATGGCAGCAGTGTCTATCCACAGGCCATGGCTTCTGCTCCTTGACCTCCTAAGATGAGGAGAATGGGGAATGGTGGGCCTCGGAGCACAGCCACCCTAGATGAGCCTCCCTCCAAGGCATCTAGGGCCAAGCAGAGTCTGGCCTACAGGACTGTCCCGACTCGTTGCAACTTTAAGAAATGGTTTCCACAGGTTTATAACCATCGGGTAAGGAATGCCTACTCAAGGTATAAATACACAGAGGCCACAAAGAAAAAAAGACTAAAAGCCTAGGCAACATAATAATACAAAATTTGGAACAATAAAATATATCACAAAGTTAAAAGAAAGTGACATACTAAAATATCGGCAGCATGTATAACAAAGGATTAATATTCAGTACATCAACAATTCTTACAATTCAATAAGGAAAAGGCGAACAATTTAATAAAAAGAGGAAAAGAATATAAAGAAGCACTCCATAAGGAAAGAAATATAAATGGTAAACAGCAAAGGAAGATACGCTCAATCTCACTGTAAACAGAGAAATACTAAAATATCATTGTTTGTTCATCAAATTAGCAAACATTAAAAACGACTAATAGTATCCAATGTTGGACCTTTAGCTAGACTTACCAAGAAAACAAAGAAAACTCAAACAAAATTATAAACGAAAGAGGAGACATTACAACTGATGCCACAGAAATACAAGGATCATAGGAGACTACTATGAACAATTATACGCCAACAAATTGGACAGCCTAGAATCCAAGACTGAATCATGAAGAATTAGAAAATCTGAATTCTACCAAACATTTAAAGAAAGATTAATACCAATCCTTCTCAAACTCTTTCAAACAATTGACCTGAATAGACTTCCAAAGAAGACATACAAATGGCCAGGAAGTACATGAAAAGGCACTCAACATCACGAATCATCAAGGAAATGCAAATCAAAACCACAATGAGATATCACTTCACAACTGTTAGAATGGCTATTATCAAAAAGACAAGAGATAAGACAAGTATTGTATGATCTCACCTGTACGTTGAATTTATAAAAGCCTAACTCATAAAAACAGAGTAGACTGGTGGTTGCCAGGGACTGGGAGGTGGGGAAATGAGGAGATGTTGGGCAAAGGGTACAAACTTTCATTTATAAGAGGAGTAAGTTCTGGAGATCTAATGTACAGCCTGGTGACTATAATAATACTGTATGGTATTCTTGAAAGTTGCTAAGAGGGTAGATCTTAACATCATAGCAACAGCAACAACAACAAAGTGGTAATTACGTAAGATGATGGATGTGTTAATTATCTTCTTGTAGCGATCATTTCATAATATACTATACGTGTATCAAATCAGCACACTGTACACCTTAAACTTACAGAATCTTATGTGTCAATTATATCTCAATAAAGCTGGAAGAAAAGAGAAAAAAAAATCCAGTGTTGGGAGTTAGGAGGGCAGTTAGGTTGCATCAAATTTTAAAATGTGCATGCTCTTTGACTCAGCATTCTACTTCCAACAGGGAACCTAGAGAAATACTTGCACTTGTAAGTGAAGAAGCATGTACAAAAATGTTAATTACAACACTGTTTGTAAAAGCATAACATTGGAAACAACCTAAATGTCCTCTACTAAAGGCATGGCTTAATAAAGCATGGGACAGTCATAGTAGGGACATCATGCAGCAGTTAGAAAGAATATGTGGTACACTGAGCCCTGAGATGGAAAGATTTCCAAGACATATGAAGTGAAAAAAGTGAATTAACAATATGCATAGTATAATCTATTTATATTTTAAACATGTACACCCACAAAGTCACACATTTCTATATGTACATATATGTATGCGTAAAAGCATAGAAATACATCCGGAAAAATACGTACTAAACTGGCAATAATAGTTCTCTTTGGGTAGAGCAGTGAGCTTAGGGATGCAGCAAAGGAGGGATTTTGCTATGAGTGTTCTGTTGGTTGACATTTTCACAAGAAGAATGTATTCATATATTACGGTGAAATTTTAAAATGAAAAGGAAAAACTACCATAGACTCGGGGCTGCTCAAGGACAGACTTATAAAACCCATAAGGTCTGCCTTCCCTTTTGAGCACACAAGTAGCTGAGCGGGATCTGGGGAGGAGGACACAGTAGAGAGAAGGAACCTCCCAGTGTCAGCCCCCACGTGGATGCCAGTCAGTCTTTTGACTTTCTGACACTCCCTATAGCCTGGACCTTTCCTACAAAGCCCTTCGTGTGTCTTCCCTCCCTTTCCTGATTTGATTCTACTGTGTTAACTTATTTGAATCAGGCCAATCTCCCCTCTGAATTTGTATTCCTTAAATTATATTTTTTATAGATATGACTTGGAAATTCATGTGTCCATTACATGATATACCAAGATTCCTACTTCTAATGAATTCCAAGAATTGAAAGATGTTATTCTGTTGTCCACTGTGTCTTGGGTCAGTTTCCCTGGAAAACAGACTCTGAGATTCAGATTGACATGCAAGAGGTCTACTGGGAAGAGTTCCGGGGAACAACAGCTCTCGGGGAGTGAAGGCAGGATCGAGCAGAGGAAGAAGCTGGGCTGTGAAGCAGTCACAACGAAGGCCTCAGCAGATCCCAAAAGAAGCTCTGAGCTGAGATGGCCCTTCAGAGTTGTTCCAAAACGAGGAGAGGAGCTGGGCCTTTGCACCTCCACATGGACCAGTCATTGGATGTGGGCTGCTTCCGGGAAGGGAGTGTAACTTTGGCCAAAGTAACTTGCTTCGGCTGAGAACCAGTCCTGGGAGAGACTCAGCTGTGGGCAGCAGCTGGGAGAATGAGCACCTCAGCCTGAAGGGGAATCTGGTAAGTTCACCATGTCCAGAGGAATCTGGAGCTAAGGAAGCATTCATCTCTGAGGGTGAGGGAAATGAGGAATGGGTACACATTTTTATCTCAATTTTGCAGATGGAGAAACAAAGTTCTTTCTGATATGTTCTGGAAGTCAATCAACGACGGAAGCATGGAACTGGACGCCTAGGCCGAGGTCTTGCTTATCAGGCTTACCTGTGTCAACTCCCTCTTTAGGACTCATGAAGCATGCTTTGAAGAAAAAAAATATAAATTATTAAGGAAGAAAATGCTTTGACCAGAAATAGGGAGCAATGTTTTGAGTTTAAGTGCCCTGGTAATTATCTCATTTCATCTTACATATCTTGAAAGAGTTTAATTTATAGTAAATCAGATCCATTGCTTGAAAAGTAAAGAGATGAGAAGAGGAACTCTGCATTTGTGCTGTTGATAACATCTCAGCTGTCTGGAATTAAGCCCAGTGGCTCTCTCCCATCCTGGTCCCGTCAGCCTGTTTGGTTCAGGCCCTTGTGCATGAAGTCTGTGTTCTGTAGACAATCAGCGACTTCCATCATCCTGGAAAGCTGAGCCCAGTAAGGACCCACAGTTACTAGCACGGAAATGTTTATTCTTATGCCATTCCTAGCCACAGAGGAAATACTTACTCTTTCCCCACAAACTCTGAAGAAAACTGCATACCCTTGTTTAGATCTTATGCTTTTATTTGGCAGTTCTGGATCACTACAGGAGCTGGGAAGAGGGGAGAATAAAGGACCTGATTCCTTCAAAGATGTCAGGTTGCAAAAATGAAGGAAGAATTCAGAAGGACATAATGCTCTGAAAATCTTTGATTTATTGAACTCTTGCTGTTTGGCAGATCCAGAGTTAAGCCCCTAACATGCATTGTCTTCTTTAAATCTCACAACTCTGAGTACTAATAGTATCTGTTTTACAAGTACTAATATTATCTGGTTTACAGATGAGGAAATTGAGTCTCAGAGAAGTAAAGTAATTTGCCTAAGGTCACAGAGCTACCAAGTAACACAGAAGGGTTTTGGTCCAAGTCTAGCTGGTTCCAGAGCCACCAAGAAGGGAAGTGGTTTGCAGAGACTCAAAAAGTTTAGTCAGGACAGAGAAAAGTAAGAGTAACAATAGAGAGGCATTAAGAAAGTAATTAGTATCATTCTTCTGAATAGCAGGTTGGAACAGAGATGTCCAGAAGCCACACAAAAGTCCTGGGCCCCCTATTTGTCTTCACTATATAAAGAAAATCAAGTATTTAATTCCCTACATATTGTATGATGCTATTTTTAGCACATTTGAAAACATTCAAATATTTTCCATTTTTATATTTATGGATGTTTACTATTTAATATTGATATATATTGTTTTTCAATACAAACAAATTAGCATCAGCGTAAAGACACGTAGGAGAGACAGAAAAACCTGTGCAGGGAGGGAGGGAGGCTGCATAACGAGCCATTTAAGAGACTCCAGTTTGTGTTTCTATTATACTAGTTCTTAAGCTGGGTGATGAGTACAACCGTATTCATTATATTATTGTCTGTGAAAGGTAGAAAAGGTCTTTTACATTTTGAAACAGTTCACATAACTGTTTTTTAAAAAGAAAATAGTTTAGGTAAGAAAGCTTATAACAGCTAAGTGGTAGCACATTATTTAAACTTGTACTCGTTGTTTGTTTATTTTGACCCTGACTCTAATTTGAGGCATTATATGGCTTAAAAATAGAAACTACACATTAATAAAAGTGCAGGTTCTTTAATAAAGTCTTGTTATAGAAAAAAAGACTGATGGGTGTGTGCAAAGGACAGCCCTGGTACCAAGTCTTTAGCCTGTTCCAGTGACAGATGTACCTATTGTCTTGATGCTGAGCCACCTTGAGAGCTCCTCCCTGTGGTCCTGAAAATCTTGGGGCCTCTGGGGCTGCGGGTCAGAGCGCGGCTCCAGAGAGTCTAGAGTAGAGGCAGCTCTAAACTATCCTAGGTGTAGCTTTGAGGAGTTGTTTGCCCAGAGTTGCCTAATGTGAGGAGAAAACTGCTCTAGATTGGCGGAGGGGGTTTCACTAGAGGGTCTAGTGCTGTCCAGCGTGGCAGCCACCAGTCACATGCGGCTACTGAGCACGTGAAATGTCAGGGCCAAAGGGAGATGCGCTGGAAGTGTAAAAATGCGCACAGATTTCAGAGAAAGTACAAAAATAAGAATGTAAAAAATCTCATTAATAATTTTTATATTGATTAAGTGTTTAATATTTTGGATTTATGGGGTTAAAATACATTATTAAAATTAATTATTGTTTCATTATTACCACTTCATTGAAATATAATTGACATACTATAAACTACACATATTTAAGGCACTCAATTTAAGTTTTAACATGTATACACTGTGGTGTAGCACGCCCTTCATTCTGGCCCACCAGTCCCTCTCCAGCCTGCTCTCCCTCTGACCCCATCTCACACTCTCCTCTCTGCTCAGAGTTCCCAGTTCCTGGAACCCGCCTTGCTCTGGAGAATTTCAGAGCTTTCTCTTGCCCTTAGAAAGCCTTCTCCCAACTCTGCCTGGTGAATTCTACTCTTTCTTCAAGACCCAGTTCAAATATCATCTCCTGGGGAAACCTCCTGGAGCTCCCCAGACAGGTGTAAGTGCTGCCTCCTCTGTGTCACCAGAGCCTTTATGCCTTTCTCTCTGGCTTCCGATGTGGAATGTGAAGTGACTGTTTATGCATCTGCCTCCCCTCCCAGATGGCCAGTGCCTTGAGGCAGTACCTGCAAAAGGCTGGTCTGGGGGGCAACGAACTTGATGTGAGGCTTGTGGAAGAGCACATCTGGGGCCCCTTACAGCTGCGCTCTGGGTAGATGTCATCCTCTCTTGCCTAGACTCTGGCTACAGCTTGCCCACACATGGACCTCTTGCCACACACCCCACTGTTGGCAAAGAGAGACTTAAACTCCCTAATGGTTCCTGCCAGCTCAGTTTCCCCCAAGGCTTTCCACCACTTAGTGAATGAAATCTCATTTCCCTTAAATGGGCCAAAGCCCAGGGCAATCTGGGCCCACCCACCGGCCTGTGCACCTCATCCTGCCACCCCTAAACACTCCCACAGTTCTTCCCTTCGACATAGACAAACAGACACAGACACAGACACACACGGTGCAATAGTGCACTGGCTCTCCATGTCCATGTTCCCTTTCCTGTGTGCCTTGTCACGTGGCTCAGCCTAGACTGAACACAAAACCCTCCTCCCCTTTCGTGGTTTCAGGGTCCTTCTCCAGAAGCTCTCCC